AGACACAGGCCCATATCCTATGAAAGTGACAGTCATGTTCATCAATAATCACATTTTCACAAGCATTCCTCCTCATATCTCTCAGTTATATAATCATTCCACTTTAAGGAAATCAGGGCAGAGGGATGATGTTGGTAATCTCCAACATGTCCCCCTCAACATCCCTGTCATCTCACAGCACGTCTGGGGAACAGGAAGGCAGAAGAGATCATAGTAAGAGATAAGAGCTACTTACTATTTCTAAGCCTTAGAGTGAGAAATCCCTGGGAGTGATTTCCAGTTGTATCACTTTCTATGAGTAGCAGTAAGTAATTTCTTCAGCTTCTGTGAACCCATTTTATCACGAATAACATGTGTAAGAACTGCTTCTGATGCAACGTATGAAAAATGAGTAAGCTCAGGGAGACATAAAAGACACTAAATGTAGTTCCTCCTCTTCTTATTAGGGAAAAAGGCTGTAACAGAGAGGCCATATGCAAAGTCTTGACATCCAACCAACAAAGGCTCTCAAGCTTTGACTAAGGACTACTGTGCAAAGGTAATTCTACCTTTAGAACTCTTTTAATAATACTTTAAATCCAGTAGAAGCTATTATGGATTGTCTACCACCCAACTTTTCTACATTTGATCATCATGTTGTCCATCTGTAAGTGAAGTTGCCCATCAGATGCTTATTTGTTTGCCTTTCACTTTTAAATTTCTTCTTGTAGGGGCAAGAATCACTACTTTGGATTCATTTTTTGAAAAACATTAAAAAAAAATCAATTCCTGGCATCAGCACTGAAGAGTTTCTGGCATCTTTAAAACTCTTCTCTCAGCTTCCCTGACATTGCTATCCTGGCTATTTCTCACCAGCCTAGCAGCTCCTTCTCAGTTCCCCTTGCTCTCGTCTCCTCAACTTCTAACAGAATTACACATTCCCTATTCCCAACCCCAGAGCCTATTTCCTTTTTTTTTTTTTAATGTTTATTTATTTTTGAGAGAGAAAGAGAGAAACTGCGCACATGCACCTGCACAGGAGAGGGGCAGAAGAGGGAGACAGAGTACCCCAAGCAGGCTCCATGCTGACAGCAAAGCCGGATGTGGGGCTCGAATCCACAAACCGTGAGATCACGACTTAAGCCAAAGTAGGACACTTAACGGACTGAGCCACCCAGGCGCCCCTCCCCGACTCGAATTCTTTTATGTTATCCTCCCACTCTACTGAAGTCATTTCAAGTCCATGACTTCAGCACGTGCGTGCACGTTCTCTCTCTCTCTCTGTATATAGACACACATATATATTTTTGTTCTATATGCACACGTATATACACATGTATATACATACACATATATGTACACATACCTGCGTGTGTATGTACATATGTGTATATACATACATATAAAGTTTATGTAGATATAACATGTATTCAGCCCCCCTCCCTCAATATGACTCTTGGGCTAATTATCTTACCAGCTCAAGATACTACTCAAAACACAATTCTCTCTTTCCCCTCTCATATCTAGTCCTTCCCCTGGGTTGGCCACCTCAGGCAATGGTGGCACCATCTACACAGTTGCTCAAGTCCAAAATCAGGGAATCCACTTCTCTTTCACTCCCATATCCAATCCACCTGCATGCAACTCATTCTGCCACCAACTGTTATTATCTGTAACTCAGTAATAGCTTGGGTCTCCCTGCTTCCACTGTTGCCCCTGCCAATCCATTCTTTATCCAGCAGCCAGAGATGTTCAAACCAAACAGATCATGTTGCTACCTGACGAAAAATCCTTCAAGAACCTGCCACTGTATCTATAATAAAATCTTCTACTGGCCTCTTGATAGTTCTTTGGACACACCACTCTCTTCCCCTCACTATATTCACGTATACTGTTCCCTAGGCCTGGAATGCTGTTCTGCCCTATCATTAACTTACCCTCTAGGTTTTAGCTTGATGTCACATTTCTTGAAAACAAGCCTTCCCAACTCCAATATGATCAGGTCCCATTATATCCTTACTAGACCCTACATCTTTCTTACATAGCACTGCAAATAAAGTTGGTAAAACTATGTTATTTGTGCAACTATTTGGTTACGGTATATCTAGGCACAATATTTGTTTTGCTGACCACTGCATCAACCCACAGTACCAATAGCCAGGTGGCCAATACCTAACAAACTCCTGTCTCCAATAAATATTTGATAAATGGAAAAAGTCATGAGTCCTGGCTCTACAATGGCTGCATAAGACAGCAAGATGCAGCATGAATATTTATTTCACTTCATTTGGATTTTTAGGGAAAAAACGTTTAAGTCACAGTGGTGGGCAAAGAAAGGAATTCAAGTGGAAGACTGAGACTATAGTTCTTTCTCCTAATAAGGATCTAGAGTTCTTGTCTTTTACTTCTTTTGTCCTGCTATAGAACATGGCACAGAGTTACATCCAGTTAAGGTAGGTTCTTAAGCACTCAGTGACCAAAGCAGCCTACAGGACACTGATCAAGTGCTAGAATTCAATGTTACAGAATTCTAAATATTATGATTCATTGAGGGCTAGAAGTTTAGAAGAGATTTTATGCAGGTAAAAGTAAACCTAGACTGGGTGATGAACAACCTTTTGGGATCTAGTCAAACTATGTTATAACCCCTTTCCTGCCCTCCTTCAACAGTGGTATATCTCTATATCCACATCTGTATTCCTTAACGTGACATGTTTCTTCAGTCCATTTGCTAAATTGTAAACAAAATTATCTTCCATAGGAGATTCTATGCTTAGTTAACCTAACATACCTTTTTCACCGACCATCAAGGAACCAAGGGGCAGAAGGTAAAAACAAAAACAAACAAAAACTATAAATAACTCATTATACCACCTGTTGCATAAATGAACTATGAACATAACATTTTATATACTATATTCATCTAATAAAGTAGAAATTAAGAGAATCCTAGAGTTTATGTACTTTCTGAAGGAGCAACATGTATCAAATAATAACTATACTAGCCATTATTTTCCAGGCACTGAACACGGGACTTGATGTTCATTTCTTTCTAATCTTCAAAATGAAATCTTCAGAAAAAGCAGGAGAGGAGGCTGAAAAAGTTGAGTGGTTTCTTCAACCACACAGCTAACAATACAGGTGTTCTTTTTAAGACATTGTAAACTGATCAAAAGCTCCCAAACACAAACCCTCAAGTTTTGGAGAACTCGAAGTGCTTTGCTATTCAGACAATTTTATAGGATGCTTACAAGTCCAAGGTCTATAACATACTTCCATTTAAAAACCCTTTTTTATTTTTTTTATTTTTTTTTTATTTTTTTTTATTTTTTGGACAGAGAGAGACAGAGCATGAACGGGGGAGGGGCAGAGAGAGAGGGAGACACAGAGTCGGAAACAGGCTCCAGGCTCTGAGCCATCAGCCCAGAGCCTGACGAGGGGCTCGAACTCACGGACCGTGAGATCGTGACCTGGCTGAAGTCGGACGCTTAACCGACTGCGCCACCCAGGCACCCCTAAAAACCCTTTTTAACACTTATGGGTAAATTTAGACTGCTTTACTACTAAACTACTCAGCTTTGGTGTTATCTGAAATACAGCTTTATGATTTTTTAAATAATAAAAATGCTGTAATAAAAGAAATTACCACCTACACATCTACTTTACAAAGATGTATAGTTTTGAAAGGGTAAAAATAATAAATTTGAAAGAGAGTGTAGAAGTATAAGTGTTTTACAAATCATTTTTCTTCTGATACGACAAAATACCAGAATGGAATAACAGGAGTAGTATTATCGAAAGCTAAATGATGTCAGGCATTTAAAGAGTCACTAAGCTCTAAGGATTGGGACCTCTGTAATTATTTCAAACTGTATGAATGTTACATTATCAAACACTAAGACAAGTATAGTCTTGTATGAAATGACTGTATGAGATCAAATAATCACATCCAAAAAAAATTACATACTTTCTGTGTTTAAACTTTTCCACATTTGCGTTCACAATATCTCATCGATGTAATCATTATATACTTGTTAAAGTGGAAATCAAGTAATCCGAACTCATAAAAGTTAAATAGTAATCAAATCTCAAAGTGTTGAGGTTATCTCAAAATAATAATATTGGGCCCTGAAGAAATAAAAATCATATGTGGCCATAAAAAACAGAATTGCAGACATCAATAGACCTTATAGGGATGGTTTTCTGTTCACTAAGTGTAACCAGTTACGCAGGACCCCAGAAGTTATGGACATCCTTCATAGAAAAAAACCAATTCTCTTGTTTCTCGTTCTCAGTTTCCTTCTCTGCCGTCCCCCTATTTTGGACTTTGAGTTCCCCCGACTCCCGGTAATCTTTATATAGTCCTCTCCAAAAATTTATGTAATAAAAAACAGATTTATGCCATTATCAGGAACAGCATACCTCAATATCTGTATAATCCTTTGCATAGTCAAGATAGCAGGTTTCAGCTTTAATAATTCATAGACTATAATAAACACATCCGGTTAAGATTCTCCCTTCAAACGCTAGCGTTCCCACTCTCGAGACCCCTAGTGGGTGTACATAAGCCATACACTACAACCTTTAAAAAGGGCGCAGATGGTAGGTGCTCTCCCCGCTCTCCCCAGAGACATCCTCACCTAAACCTCCTCGCACATTCCCTTTAAGGAGCCCACAAGCACAACTGTCATTCAGAGGGATGGTGACTGTTACAGCGTGGGTGAGAAAAAGTATACAGGAGACACACAAGTGGATGGTGAAGGTTGTTACACGCAGCCTCTCTTCCATTACCTAACTAGCTTAACCCGCTGCAAACTTTTATGAGATTAAGTTACATTCCTCTGCAATTCCACCCTTGACAGCTGACTGCTGAGAAGCCAACGGAGTCGTGCACGTCCATTCCCGCCACCTCACCCGTGGCCAGCCGGCGGCCACATCCCCCCGGTCAAGGAGGACCAGTGGTTGGGGAAAGAGGGAGGACTCGTGAGAGGGATGCAGGGAGAGGGGCCGGGAGAGCTCACCTTTTCAAGCTCATCATGGAGCTCAGCCAAGCTGGGCCGGAGTAGCTTCTCGCCCAGCTGCGCCGCGGTGTGCCGGTAGTGATCGATCCTGGGAACGGCGTCCATGGTGTTGTGGCCGAAGGTGCGCAGGTAGTAAGTGTTGGTGTGGGTGTCATAGTAGTAGTGCTGGTGGTGCCCACTGCCGCCGCCGCCGCCCGAGTGCAAGCTACTGCCCTCGCTCAGCACCGTGTCCCCGCCGTTCTGGAAGCTCACGTTGGGCCCTTCGCCTCCGACCCCCGCCGCATCCGACAGGCTCTCGTCGGCGGATGAGGAGGCAGCCGGGTCCACGAAGTTTACGCGGAAGCGGCCCTTGGCTTCCTCGCTGCCTTTGCCTGGTGCGCTTTCGCCGCTAGCTTTCCCGTCCGCTGGGGTCTCCTTGCCCCCAGCCCCGGCACCAGCCGCCGCGGCCGCCGCAGCCCGCCCGGCGTTCTCGGAAACCAGGTCCACCTGGAAGCGGCTTTGACTCGGGGTGGGCCCGAGGGGTCTGCCCAGTCCATCCCCAGCCGCCGCAGCGCCCTCCCCGCGGACCCCGCCGCCGCCCCGGCTCGCGGCCGCAGCATCCTCGGACGCTGAGGGCACGGCCGTGCCAGGCAGGTCCACCGCGGCGGCGGCCAGCGCGGCAGCTGGCGGCGTCTCACCGACCCCGGGAAGCCCCGGGGCGCCGGAGGAGGGCGCCGTGGGCCCCGGTTCCATCGCCGCCCGACCCCGGGCAGACTCGGAGAGCCTGGCGGACGTCGCGGGCTGCAAGCCCTCCGCGCCCCCCGCCGGCGGTGCCTGCGGCCACGACGCCAGGTGACGGAATTGCTCGCCCCTCCACCCGCCAGTCGCCGCCGCTAGCCCGGACCGGCACAAACGCCACCGGCAGCCGAGTCGGCGCGCGAGTGCAGTGGGCGCGGGGCGGGCCCCGCTGTTTAAAGCCTCGGCGGGGCCGCAGCGGTGGCGGCTCCGGCTGCAGCACGCGGGAGGCGGGGTCGGCTGCTCCTCCGCCCCTCAGCCCGCCCACCCGTGGTCAGGCAGCGTCGCGCGGCGGACGCTCCCTCGGCGTCCCGGCCCTCCCGGGTTTCGGCGAGACCCCACGCGAGAGCTGCCTGCGCGAGGAACGCCTCTGTCCAGTCCGCGCCGGGCCTCGGGCAGCGCGAGCAGCACCGGCAGCGCGCTCAGGGAGCAGGCGCGGCGGCGCACCGCCTCACCGCCGTCACCGGGATCTCCGCGCCGCTACCTCCTCTTCCGTCGCCCTCCTCCCACCCCTCCACCTCCTTCCCCCGCCCCCTCTGCGGCGAAGAGGAGAGGGCCCCCGGCCGCCTCCCTCTCTCCCCGCCCCTGGGGCTGCACGTCAATGGGCCGGCAGCCCAGGCCTCGGCGGAGCAGCCTGCGGACGGCGTCCGGCCCGGCGGGTGAAGGGGCGGCTGAGTCCTGCTTCGGCGCACGCCGATTGCTGATGCTCCCGCGGCAGTTGCCACCACAGCAGCGGCTCCAGGAGCGCTCTCTCTCTCTCTTCGATTTCTCTCTGTCTGTCTCTCTCTCTTTTTTTTTTTTAAGTTCTGAGCTCGCAGTACTTGGGCTGCGCCGGCGAGATCTCGCGAGATGCGGCAGGGCCGCTTCACCTCAGGCGTGTGGTACCCGAGGCGGTGCTAGAGCTGCCGGCCGCCCCCCGCTCCCGTGGGTGATGCCGGGGGCTTTCCCGTCGGGCCCGCAGGTGCTTCCGGAGTGGCCGCCGAGGGGCGCCCCGAGGCGAAGTCCGCTCGCTGCTCCGGCCCGCCGCGACTGCCGGCCCTCACCCCAGGCCTGAGCCTTAGGGGGAGGCAGGATTTCCTCTGTGCAGCTTTTGAGGCGGTCGACTCCCCGCCTGGCCGCGTTAGATTTGCATAACCAGAAACTCATTCCAGTGGAGATGCAGTGGGTGTGTCCACGCTTCGATGACACCTTTATTTTAAAAGCTGTGATGTTCGAAGGTGAGAAGGGAGCTTAGTGGTGATACGTTACCGTTTCGAGGCGATTCTTAACTTGAGGCATTTCCAGAAAGAAAAGGAAGCTCAGCTCGGAAGTGAATACACAGAAGTAACTAACTGTAGAGCAGTGACTAACCGTGGAGCGCTCACCGGGAACTTTGGGCTTGGTTTAGGTTGTGAGGAATTCCTGTTTTCCTCCTCTCCTCCGCAAGCCTGGTTTCTCTTCTGTGAAATGTACAGGAATATCGTGATTTTGCAACTTTCTTAGCAGCAGAATCTATTTTTAACCTAAATTCTATCCCCAGCCCCACGTAAAAGCAGCTAACAGCAACGAATGGTTTCTTCGATCCCTTGTCTTTTATTTATGCTTGTGTATTTAAAATTTTATCTCTGGGGATAAACACCATCCTTTGCCGAACCCTGAAAACATGACCAAAGAGCCGTGGAGCTTGCAGGGTTCTTTGGAAATGCTGTGAAGAAAGTTGGCAACCAGGGAGTTTTCAAGAAATTGTGATACCCATGATCTTATCTGACCTTTGCACCTTTTCTTCTACATTTATTATTTTATTATTTCTGTTGTAAAAAATGGAGACAGGAAGGAACCACTTTTGAATCCTGTAGCCACAGTTTTTAAAGTCCTTCTTGAGCTTTAGCGATAGTAGGAGAAAACCAGGAGAGGCCAGAAAAATCAGGCAGTCCTTAAAGCAGTGCAGTTTGTACAAGGGCATTGCTGCCTTAGTAGCAGATCTGTGTGGTAGGGATGCTAATTTGGTAGCTCTTGGGATTCCTTATTCATTGAGCTGAACAAATGGTAAGCACCTACTATGCGGTGCTCTGTATTTTGAGGGTGTGACAGTGAGCAAAGCAGACAGTCGCTTCTCATGGAAATCGTAGTCTCCCTTGGGAGAGAGAGAGGCAATAAAGACAAATAGATAAAACGTATAGCAAGCGAGTAGTGAGTGCAGAGGAAGGAGAATGGGATATGTGTGTGAGATGGAGGTGGCAAAATTTGTCATGGAAGGGCCCCACTGAGAAGGCGACATTTGAATGATGGAGTTCTATGTATATTTGGGGAAATACTGTTCCAGGGAGAAGAAAAGCAAAGACCGAAAGGTGAGAATATTCCTGACATGTTCATGGAATTAGATACAGCCCAGTGTGGCAAAAGCTGTTTGAAGGGATGGGAAGAATCAAAGGCAATTGTGTTGGAGAGTTTAGGGGTTGGAAGCAGGATAGACCAGAATGGACCCCCCCCCCCCCCCATTGGCTCTTGGAAGGACTTTGGCTTTTAATTTGAGTGAGATGGTATATTGGTTTCGACTGGCATAACACAGTACCGTAGATTGGGTTGCTTAAATAACAGAAATTTATTTCCTTACAGTTCTGGAAGCTAGAAAGTCTAGGATCAGGGTGCCAGTATGGGCAGCTTCTGGTAAGGGCTTTCTTCCTGGCTTACAGACCTTACAGTCTTTTCACTGTGTCCTCACTTGGTGGATAGAGAACTCTGGTGTCTCTCCCTATAAGGGGACCATTTTCATCTAATCAGTGCTCCACCTATATGACCTCATTTAATTTTAATCATTTCCAAAAGGCACTATCTCCAATACAGTTAGCTGAATTAGGGCTCTCACATATGGATTTGGGTGGGAAGGTCACTTTAGTTCCTAGCAGATGGCAAGTTATCAGAGTGTCTGAGTTGAGGAATGACATGATTTGACATATATTTAAGACATGAACCTAACTGCCTTGTAAATATACAAGAAGGTAAGTGGTGGGGCCAAAGAAACAAACAAGGAGATGTTAAGAGGCAACTCAGCAATCCAAGAGGTGATGGTATGGCTTGGCCATAATGGGTAGTAGTGAAAATGGGGGTGGGAGGGAAGTGGTTGAATTAGGGAAGCAATAGAATTTTTTGATAGATGTGGAGGGTGAAAGGGAATCCACCTTTGGCCTGAGCAACTGAAAGAATCGCGTTACTATTTTCTGAGGTGGAGGAAATGGTGAATAGAGCAGGGTTGGGTAGGAGGCATATCAGGAGCTCAGTCTGAGATATCCATTGGAGGAAACAAATACACGTATAGCAATTAATAGTAGTCACTCATAGAAATGTGTAACTGCAAGCTGAGAAGTTCTAGGACAGAGAGGAACGTAGTACAATGAGAATGCAAAATACGGGGGGCCAGACTTCGTGAGGGAGGAAGTGACTTTTCAGCTGAGGTCTGAAGGGTGAGAACTTGCAGGAGTGGGGGGAGGGGTTCAAAAAAGAGTAATATTGTGGGCAAAAGCCCTCATGGACTGAACATGGCCTAAGGAGCTTGAGGCCAGTTTGGTTAAAGCATGGAGATTAAGAGACAAGAGTGATAAGAGATGACTATTCTAAAAGCCCTATACAACCATTAAGGGGTTTCCAGGGAGGCAGAGGGGGACATGACCAGATTTAAATTTATTAAAAGTCTCTCTAGTGATTTTGTGGCAGAAGATTGTGGAGAGGGGCAAGAATAAGAAAGGATACAATTTCAGTAATCTAGGCAGAAAATGATAGCAGTACCACTAGCTAACGTTTATACGGAACTTGTCCTAGATTCTGTGCTCACTCTACATTCATAATCTTATTTCATTCTTACAGCAACACTATGAAGAAAATCCTAGCATTGCCCCCATTTTACAGATGAAAAACTTGCTTAAGGGAAAAAAATGGTTAAGTAACTTGTCTGAGGTCACTCAGCCAAAATGCATATTTGAATTCAGGGAGATGTCTTCACTAATCAAGCTTTGCTCGTTTGGATTGTGTGGGATGCACAGGAGATGACGAAGGGGAAAATTTGAGAGGTACTTAAGAGGACTTAGAAATGGGTTTAAGGAGTGAAAGAGAATAAAGTATGCATTTTCTAACTTTGTGTACCTGGGGTTAGATGATGGTGACATGAGTGAGGAAATGAACATTCTAAAACTAGGTTTGGAGATGACTATGAGAAATTTGGTCTAGAACATATTGTGGCTGAGATACTTTTGAAACATCTAAATGGAAAAGTATTTGGCTACATGGGTTTTGGGCTCATAGGAAAAGTTTGTATGACAGAGTACAGATGTGGGGATCTTCTGCAAGTAGACCCCATGGACACAAATAAGATCACTTAGGGAGATGGTGTAGAGCAACACTGTACAACAGAACTTTCTGCAATGATAGAAATGTTCTATATCACTGCTGCCCAGTATAGTAACCATGAGCCGCTTGTGGCTCTTGAGCACTTGAAATGCCTAGTGCAAGTGAGGAACTGAATATTTAATTTAATTTTATTGAATTTCTTAAGTAGCCCCCTGAACTAGTAGCTACCATATTGAACAACGTAGATATAATAGGGCTCAAAAGAAGGCCTAGAGTCCAGCCTTGTGTAATTCCAACATGTAAAGACTAGATAAAAAGGAGGAGTGGCCTGAAAGTTGAAAAGAAAACCAGATGAAGTCATTCTTAAAGTAAGATTAGCTGTATTAAACTGGGCCAAGAGATGGAGACAGATGAAAAGTAGTAATAGATTGAATTTAGTACCATGTATTAGCCAACATAATGGGAGGGTAATGGTGGGGAGCAAGGGTTCCAGGAGATGTAATCAAACTGTGCATGTGAAACTTGTAGAAACACTGTCAGGATACAACATTTGTTTATTAGATTTACCGTGTGTCAATTTAGAGACTAACCATCAGGAGAACAGACTGCTTGTCAAGTGCCATGAGGGAGTACTCCAATCGTTTTGCTCATTTTCCCCTTTTGTCAGAAAGTTAGCCTGTGGCATTTGTATGTGCAGTGTATTTGCTAGTGTGTAGTGAATGTACTTAGAATTTTAGGACGAGAAGAGACTTAGGTTATTATTCCAAGCCTCTCAGTTAACAAATGCAAAAAATCCTAAAAGGAGGCATAGATTATGTTAGAACTACAACTCTTCATACCTGCAGCTTTAGAATATGTGAGATACAAAGCCATGTGGAGCCTTTGAAATCAGCCTTTTTTCTTTTTTTTTTTTTTTTTTACAGTGGGTTTTACTTGAATATATTGTGTGTCCTCACATT